ATTATGACGATGCTCAGCCAGGACTACAATTCCCATCATGCCCCACGCTGGCCATAGAGACCCGTTATGGCTTTGCCCAGGAGAGGACTACAACTCCCATCATGCAACGCGGCACCCAGAGAGCCCTGTCATGGCGTCGCCCAGCCTGGACCACAACTCCCATGATGCAGTGCGACACCCATACAGCACCATTAAGGCGCCGCCCGGCTTGGACTACAACTCCCGTCGTGCCGCGCGGCGCTCCCAGCGCGCCAATTTCGCACATCATGGCGGAGCTGGAGCTCCCCTCCGATCCCGACCTGCGCAGGTTGGAGCCCGCGGGACCCCCCAGTGGGGGCTTTTGGGGTCCTGGGGGGGTTGGGGTGCTCCTGACCCCCTCTCTTTGTCTCCCCCCCACCTCCAGGCTGTGCACGGGGCCCTGTGCCCCCATCCGGGAGTACATCATGGGCCACGTGCGGCACCCGCGGTGAGGGGGGCACCCCAACATCTGGGGGGGAGGAACTGCAACATCTGGAGGGACCCCAAACCTCGGATCGGTCCCTAAAATACATGGCGGGGGGGGGGGGGTGTGTGTTCCTATAGGAATGTGATGAGGATCAAAGGGAACCTGCTGTGGTACCTGCTGCACCCCAAAATGCGGGGGGACCCCCAAGCTCATTGGGGAGCCTCCAAAACCCCTCAGGCCCCCCCCAAAATTCCACTGGGATCGCAAGAACCCCAGCACCCCCCAATTCCCCCTTGTGACCCCCCCAACCCCTTTTCTTTACCCAGATCCATGCACAGGAGCCCAAATTCCTTTAGGACCCCTCCAAATCCCATTGGGATCCCCAGGAACCCCCAGTTCTCTCCCATGATCCTCCCCGACCCCCCCCCAACCCCTCCTTTACCCCCCCCCCCCCAGGTTTCCTCCTTAACTCGGGGCTCAGGTACCAGCACTTCAAGGAGATTCAGGTTTGGGGGGCAGGGTGGGGAGCGTTAGAGGGTTTTGGGGACCTCTATGGGGTTTTGGGGAGTTTCACAGGGACCAAAACACCCCCCTGCACCCCAAAACCATCCCCCTGCATCCAAAAACACCCCCTTTGCACTCCAAAACCATCCCCCCTGCACCTCAAAACAACCCCCTGCATCCCAGAACGCCCCCCTGCACACCAAAACCATGCCCCCTGCATACCAAAACACAACCCCTGCACCCTAAAACCACCCCCATGCATCCCAGAAGCCCCACGGCACCCCAAAACCACCCCCCTGCACCCCAAAACACACCTCCGCATCCCAAATCTACCCCCACTGCACCCCAAAACAACCCCTTGCACCCCAAAAGCACCCACTGTGCACCCCAAAACCACCCGATGGATTCCCCCATGCACCCAAAACCCTCTCAAGGACCCCCCCGAATACATCCTGCAGCCCGGTTTCCCCCCCTGCAACCCAAAACTGCCCCTGGGCCCTACCCCATGATCTTTTCCTCCCCACTCCTGAACCCCAGAACCCTTTAGGGACCCCCTCTATACTTTAAACCCCCCTGGGTTTCCTTCTGAAGTGGGGGCTGGGCTCATAGGGGTCCTTAAAGCCCCCCCCCACTCTCCCTAAACCCAGTGCTGGGACCTTTTGGGGTGCCCCCAAGCCCTCCATGGTCCCTGCAGTCCTTTTGGGGTCCCCAAAATGGGATCTGGACCCCTTTGGGCCCCCCAAACTCCCCTCAACGTTTGGCTTTGGGTCCCCCTTGCCACCAGGTTGATGCTGGAGACCGCGGGGCTCTCAGGGGCTCGGGGGGCCCAGATCCAGCAGGGCCCAGAGCTATGGGGCAGCCCCATGGACTCCCCAGAAGCTGCCCTATGGCCACTGAGGAGGCAGCTGCAGGAGGGGAAGCAGCGGCTGGTGGGTGCCAACGGGGGAATATGGGGATTTGGGGGGGGTCTGGGAAGTGGAATTTGATGGTTATGGGGAGGGCTTGGGGTCCCTAAAGGGTCCCAGCGCCGCTTTTTGGGAGGGATGAGGGATATTTGGGGGTCCTGGAGGAGGATTTGGGGTCTATAGGGGATGACATGGGGGAGTTTGGGGCTTTGGGGGGATTTTGGGGGTTCAGCGGTGCTGGGAGGGGGATCTGTGGGTTATGGATGGGTTTGGTGTTAAGGGAGAGGCTTGTGGGGAAATATGGGGCGATATTTAAGGTGTTTGGGGGTCTTGGAGGGTATTTGGGTCCCTCCCATGGCTTTGGGGTCCCTCATTTCCTTGTGGCCCCCCTCCCCCCACATAGTAGGACCTACAGTAATGGCCCATAAATGAAGTAGGTCCTGTCCCAATACCCTGTCAATAGAGCAGATCCGACAGCAACCGTACATAAAATAGGTCCTACGTTAATGAGTGAGTAAATACAGGAGGTCCTGGCACAGCACCATGTAAATACAGGAAGTCCTACAGTAAGAACGTGCAAATACGAGTGGCTCTATGTTAATGACATGTAAATAAAGCAGGTCCTCCACTAAAAGGACACAAATTAAGTAGGCCCTACATTAATAACATGTAAATGAGGAAGGGTCTATGTTAGTAACATGTAAATCAGGTCCGCCCTGCATGAACTGCATGTGAATAAAGCAGGACCTACGCTAATTGCATGTAAATAAGGGGGGGGGGGGGTAATGATGGTGGGATGAGAAAGGGGGAGGGATGGAGGGAGAGGGGGAGAAATGGCAGGAATGTGGGGAATGGGGGTGGGAAAAAGGGGGAGGGGGAATGGGGGGGCAAAAGGGGGGGAGGGGAGAAGATGGGGATGTGGTGGGTTTCCTTCTGTCCTGGCTGAGCCTCTCCTCTGTCACTGTCCCCCACTGCCTTTTGTCCTCCCACCAGGCACCACGGTGAGGAGCCTGGCTCTGTATTCTCCATGACCTCCTTGTCTCTACAGGCAGCCAGTCCCCAACAGCCTTCCCTTCCCAAGATCTCAGGTCCCCATCAGCCTCCCCTTCTCCAGGCTGGAGAAGCCCAGCTCCCCCAGCCTCTCCCCACAGGCACCGTGATCCAGTCCCTGCCTGTCCTGAGGGCCCGTTGCTAAACCCACTCCTGCTTGCCAATAGTGTTCCTGAACTGGGGATCTGAAACCTGGATGGAGGATTCCAGATCATCCCTTCCCTTGTTCTCCTGCCGTGCTCCTGCTCATACAGCCCACGATGCTGCTGTCCTCCCTTGCTGCCTCCTGTCCAGCTCCTGCCCACCCAGACCTCTCCCATGGGCTCTTCTCAGCCAGGCAGCCCCAGCCTGTGCCATTGCAGGGCAGTCCCCTGCAGGGACCCCTGTGTTCCCTGCTCCCCTGCCCAGGACACCCCGAGAGCTCTGCAGCCACCCCATGCCATCCCATCTCCCCACACCAGCACAACAGCCCCAGGCCTTGGGTTCCCCAAGAGCTCTTCCTGCTGCAGGCACAGAGCAGCCATCCCAGAGCTGGAGCAGCCAGAAAGCTGCTTTCATTCCCCTTCATTCCTGACGTGTGAGGACATATCACAGAGAAGAAGTTGCTGCAGGACCATTTATTTTACTCAAATACAATGAGAGACCCCATTGACAGAAAGTCTGTGGTCAGTAAAGTTGGGCAGATACTGACGTAGCAGGGGATGAAAACTGACATGTCTTTGAAGACAACATCATCACAAGTGGAAGAAGGAAAACAAGAGGTGGCAACACAGGAAAGACAGACGTGGCCCGTCATCAGGTACACTGGGACCCCTTTGCAGAGGAAGGAAGGCAGTGTATGGGTGCTCAAACACATCCAGTCAGCAGCTTCCTCAGAGCATCCTTGGGTTCCTCTGGCTGTAATGAGGAGGTTCACTGCTGTAGGTGCCACTGAGGACAGCACTGACACCACCAGATTGAGGGCTGGGGAGGAGATGGAGGCGGACAAAGATACTGCTGGGCTTTCAATATCCCAGTGCTCCCAGTCTCTTCCACAAGTCTTCCTGCTTGCAGCTGTGCTCAACTCCCAATGCCTCCCAGTGGTCCCACTACCTGCTGCAGGTGCTCCCAGTCCCTCTCAGTCCTTCCCAGTCCCTCCCAGTGCTCCCAGTTCCTGCCGCAGGTGCTCGTACTCATCCCCCACAAAACCTCCTTGGTCTTTTTGGGGAGAGACCCCAAATTAGGCACCCCTCAATAAGGGGCTGCCTCCCAGCTCCCTGATACAAGGGGGGGGGGGGGGGTTGGAATGCCCCATGGGATGTAGTTTGGGGAAAACAAGGAGCAATTTGGGGCTGGTGGCTTTGAGGGTGGAGCAACATTTTTAGGGCTCCTCCAGGATTTTGGGTCCCTGGGTTCATTTGGGGTTGGAGGCCCCAGGATGATGGGAGGTGCAGGTGACTTTTGGATGCCCCAGGCACCCCATTTGTGTGTCCTGCCTGCTCTTGTGGTGCTTCAAGCAGCTTTCTCCACGGCCCTGTGTCTCTGTGCACTCCCAGGGCATCCTGGGGATACCCCTAGAGAATCCCAGAGAATGCCTGCAGCACCTCCAGAGCACCCCATGGACCCAGTCAGAGCTCATGCATCACAATGACCTTGGGGACATGGAGACCACAGGGGTGGCTGATTCTGGAACTCCCCGTGTTCAGGTGTGTGAGGTCACAGAACCCCACAGAACCCTCCAGCAGAGGCACCGGGAGACGACAGCTGCCCCACGGAACACAAGCTACCGGTGGAGGAGGCAAGAGCAGCTCCTCTGGTGGTTCCCGTCTTGGTGTCTCGGAGCTGGTGATGCCTGTGGACACAGGAGTGTGGAAGGAGGTGGGTGGCGATGGCGATCTTGGGGTGCTGTAGGAGTTGCCAGAACACCTCAAGAGACTTCCCCAGAGTGGCTGCTTTGGACTCGGTGTGTGAGTTGGGCTGGCTGAGCCCTATCCCTGGCAGTGTTCAAGAGTAGGTTGGACACAGGCTTGGAACAAGCTGCTCTAGTGGAAGGTGTCTCTGCCAGTGCCAGGGGTTGGGAGTGGGTGAGCTTTCAGGTGCCTTCCACCTTAACCCACTCTGGGATTCCATGATTCTCTGCTGTGCCAATGTCGGTCCCTCTCCACTCCTCGTAGGTGGCCGTGACGCCCTGTTCCATGGCCCACCTTGAGCTGTGACCCCTCGCACGCTCCACCTCCGGACCAAAGGCACTGAGGAAGAGCAGTCAAACAAACCAAAACACCACAAAAACTAGCCCAAGACAACCTCACCATTCTTCTTCTATGGGATACAGGGTCAGAGCCCCAAAACAGGACAAAAACATCCCAAAACCACCCTGTCCTGCTTCTCCTATGGTATACAGGGTCAGAGTCCAAAAACAGCCCCCCAAAACCGCAAAACCACGACAAAACCACCCCAAAACCACCTTGTCCTGCTTCTCCTGTGGGATACAGAGTCAGAGCCCCAAAACAGACCCGAAACAAGCCAAAACCACTCCAAAATCACCTTGTCCTGGTTCTCCTATGGGACACAGGTCAGAGACCCAAAACAGGACAAAAAAAACCAAACCCACCCCAAAACCACCTTGTCCAGCTTCTCCTATGGGACACAGGTCAGAGACCCAAAACAGTTAAAAACCAGGCCAAAACCAGGATAAAAACACCCCAAAACCACCCCAGAACGCCCCATAAAACACCCTGCTCTGCTTCCCCATGGGATACAGGGTCAGAGCCCCAAAACAGGACAAAAACACCCCCAAAAAAAACAAAAAGCTGCCCCAAACCACCTTGTCATGCTTCTCCGATGGGATACAGTTTCAGAGCCCCAAAACAGCCCCAAAACACCCCAAAAACCAGCCCAAAACACCCAAAACAGCCCCAAAACAACCAAAACCACACCAAAACTACCTTGTCCTGCTTCTCCTATGAGATACAGAGTCAGAGCCTCAGAACAGGTCCAAAACAGGACAAAAACACCCAAAAACACCCAAAAACCACCCCAAAACCTTCCCCAAAACTACCTTGTCCTGATTCCTTTATGGGATACAGGGTCAGAGCCCCAAAACAGGAAAAAAACACCATAAAAAACAGCACAAAAAACACCTTGTCCTGCTTCTCCTATAAGACACAGGGTCAGAACCCTCAACAGCCCCAGAACAAGACAAAACCAACTCAAAATCACACAAACCCACCCCAAAACACCCCAAAGCACTTTAAAACTATCCCAAAATCACCTTAATCTGCTTCTCCTGTCAGATACAGGGTCAGAGACCCAAACAGGACAAAAGCAGCCCCAAAACACCCCCAAACCACTCCAAAACCACCTTGTCCTGCTTCTCCCATGGGATACAGGGTCAGAGCCCAAAAACAGCCCTAAAACAGGCCAAAACCAACCCACCCCCCCCCCCCCCCCCAAAACCAGCCCCAAAACACCCCCAAACCACTCCAAACCCGCCTTGTCCAGCTTCTCCTATGGGATACAGGGACAGAGCCCCAAAACAGACCTGAAACACGACAAAACCACACCAAAACCACCCCCAAAACATCCCCAAAACTACCTTGTCATGTTTCGCCCAGGGGATACCGGCTCAGAGCCCCCAAACAGACCCAAAACCCCCCAAAACCACACCAAAACTATCTTGTCCTGCTTCTCCTGTGGGATACAGGGTCAGAGCCCCAAAACATCCCCAAAACACCTCAAAAACCAGCCCAAAACACCCAAAACCACCCCCAAAATAACCCAAAATCACCTTGTCCTGCTTCTCCTGTGAAATACAGGGTCAGAGACCCAAAACAGGACAAAAGAAACCCAAATCCACACCAGAATAATCTTGTTCTGCTTCTCCTGTGGGATACAGGGTCAGAGCCCCAAAATAGACCCCAAAAATGCCAAAATCAACCCAAAACACCCCCAAATCAGCCTCAAAACAGCCCAAAACCACCCCAAAACCACCTTGACCTGCTTCTCCTATGAGATACAGGGTCAGAGCCCCAAAACAGGTCCAAAACAGGTCCAAAACACCCCAAAAAACAGCACAAAAAACACATTGTCCCATTTCTCCTATGGGACACAGGGTCAGAACCTTAAAACAGACCCAAAACCGGACAAAAACAACTCAAAACCACCCGCAAAACACCCCCAAAGCACTTTAAAACTATCCCAAAACCACCCTATCCTGCTTCTGCTGTGGGATACAGGGTCAGAGCCCCAAAACAGACCCAAACCAGGCCAAAAAGAGGATAAAAAAACCCAACCAACCACAGGCATCTCCATCCCTTCCAATCCCCATGGTACCCCTAAATCACCCTAAAACTCCATGGTACCCCAAACCCCAATCAACCGCAGGCATCTCCACCCCTCCCAACACTGCTGGCACCCCTAAATGACCCCAAACCCCATCTTTCTTGAGCCCCATAAGGAAGGGTCCCCACACCCAGCATGTTGGGGTGCAGGGATGCTGCTTTGGGTGACAGCCCCAGCTCATGGCCCTGCAGCAGGCTCTCCCACAGCCTCAGTCTAGAACCCAGGTGGGTCACCATGGCAACGGGTCAAAACGGGGCCCTTTGTGACCTCATTTGTGTCACCCTACTTGAGTGCTTTGCTCAGGGGAGCAGACAGTGACAGGAAAGAGCAGGAGGAAGGAGCCACTGGGTTGCTTCTGAGCTCAAGCCCTGTTGGTTTGGTCCAAGCTTTCCCCTTCGCTACCCCGTTTGGAGGTGTTTGGGGTTGTTTGAGGGTGTTTTGGGGGTGTTAAACTGTTGTGCTGAGCCCCGACACCCCCCCCCCCCCCCGCAGAGGCCGTGGGGGGGCACCCCCCCCATCGGGTCCAGGGACCCCCTGCACCATATGGAGACCCCCCCCATGTCCCAGTCCACATCTGGGTCTGGGATCCCCACACCAACATGGGGACACCCCAGTGCCCCTCCCCATTGCCCTTTAACCCCCCCCCCCATCCTTGGACCTACCCCAGAAGGTGTCGCAGCTCGAGGCCAGGCTAAAGCAGCTCCACAGCGACCTCCAGAAGGTTCCATTTTGGGGGGGTTGGGGTGATTTGGGGCTGTTTTGGGTTCTCACTGGGAGCCACCTATAGGAGCAGCAGGACAAGGTGGTTTGGGGTGGTTTTGAGGTGTTTTGGGGGTGTTTTTTGAAGTGTTATGGGGCTGTTTTGGGGCTCTGACCCTGTATCCCGTAGGAGAAGCAGGACAAGGTGGTTTTGGGCTGCTTTTTGAGGGGTTTTGGGTCTGCTTTGGGGCTGTGAGCCGGTATCCCCTAGGCGAAGCAGGACACGGTGTTTTTGGGACTGTTTTGGGGGTGGCTTTGGGGTGTTTTTGTCATATTTCAGGTCTATTTTGAGGCTCTGACCCTGTATGCCGTAGGAGAAGCAGAAGGTGTTTTTGAGGTGTTTTGGGCCTTTCGGAGGGTTTTGGAGTATTTTTGTCCTCTTTTGGGGCTGGTTTGAGGCTCTGACCCTGTATCCCATAGCAGAAGCAGAAGAAGGTGGTTTTGAGGTGTTTTGGGCCTTTTGGGGGGTTTTGGAGGAGAAGCAGGAGGTGATTTTGGGGTGGTTTTCGGGTTTGCTTTAGGTGTTTTGGCCTGTTTTTTGCCTGGTTTTCTCCTGTTTTGGGGGTGTTTTGGGGCTCTGACCCTGTATCTCATAGGAGACGCAGGACAAGGTGGTTTTGGGGTGTTTTGAGGGTGTTTGGGGTTGTTTTTGATGTCCTTTGGGTCTTTTTTTGGGCCCTGCCGCTTTATCCCCTAGGAGAAGCAGAAGGAGGTTTTGAGGTGTTTTGGGGCTGTTTTGGGGGTTTTGTCCTATTTTTGTCATTTTTTTGTCTTTTTTGGGGCTCTGAACCCGTATCCCATAGGAGAAGCAGGACAAGGTGGTTTTGGGGTGGTTTTGGGGTGTTTTGGGGGTTGTTCTGGGTGTTTTGCCTTGGATTTCGCCTGGTTTTCTCCTTTTTTTTGTCCTGTTTATGGCTGTTTGGGGGCTGTGAATGTGTACCCTGGACTAGAAGCAGGACAAGTTGGTTTTGGGGTGGTTTTGTCCTATTTTTGTCATCTTTTGTGTCTTTTTTTTGTGGCTCTGACCCTGCATCTCATAGGAGAAGCAGGAGAAGATGGTTTTGAGGCATTTTTGTTCTGTTTTAGGTCTGTTTTGCGGCCCTGACACTGTATCTCATAGCAGAAGGAGGACAAGGACGTTTTGTCCTGCTTTTTGGGGTGTTTTGTTGTGTTTTTGGCCTGTTTTGGGTCTGTTTTGAGGCTCTGACCCTGTGTCCTACAGAAGAAGCAGGACAAGGTGGTTTTGGGTTGGTTTGGGGGTTTTGGAGCTGGTTTTGGGGTTTTTGGAGTGTTTTTGTCCTGTTTTGGGTCTGTTTCAGGGCTCTGACCCTGTATCCCACAGGAGAAGCAGGACAAGGTAGTTTTTGGATGGTTTTGTCCTATTTTTGTCATGTTTTGTGTCTTTTTTGGGGCTCTGACCCTGTGTTCCATAGGAGAAGCAGGACAAGGTGGTTTTGGGGTGGTTTTGTCCTATTTTTGTCATGTTTTTTGTCTTTTTTTTTGTGGCTCTGACCCTGCATCTCATAGGAGAAGCAGGAGAAGATGGTTTTGGGGCATTTTTGTTTTGTTTTAGGTCTGTTTTGGGGCCCTGACACTGTATCTCATAGCAGAAGGAGGACAAGGACGTTTTGTCCTGCTTTTTGGGATGCTTTGGGGTGTTTTTGGCCTGTTTTGGGTCTGTTTTGAGGCTCTGACCCTGTGTCCTACAGAAGAAGCAGGACAAGGTGGTTTTGGGTTGGTTTGGGGGTTTTGGAGCTGGTTTTGGGGTTTCTGGAGTGTTTTTGTCCTGTTTTGGGTCTGTTTCAGGGCTCTGACCCTGTATCCCACAGGAGAAGCAGGACAAGGAGGTTTTGGGGCTTTTTTGTTCTGTTTTAGGTCTGTTTTGGGGCCCTGACACTGTATCTCATAGCAGAAGGAGGACAAGGTGGTTTTGTCCTGCTTTTTGGGATGTTTTGGGGTGTTTTTGGCCTGTTTTGGGTCTGTTTTGAGGCTCTGACCTTGTGTCCTATAGAAGAAGCAGGACAAGGTGGTTTTGGGTTGGTTTTGGGGTTTTTGGAGTGTATTTGTCCTGTTTTGGGTCTGTTTTAGGGCTCTGACCCTGTAT